TTGTACAGATATATGTTGATGATATTGTTTTTGATTCTACTTGTGCTAACCTTTTACAGTCTTTTGTAGATTCTATGTATCACACTTTTGAAATGAGTATGGTAGGGGAGTTGAATTACTTCTTAGGACTCCAAATCAAACAGACAAGTGAAGGAATGTTTGTGAATCAAAAGAAGTATGCTCTCAATCTGGTCAAAAGGGTTGAGTTGGAATCAGCCAAGCACATGAAAACTCCAATGGGTTCCAGCCAAAAACTGTCTAAGGATGATGTTGCAGAAGATGTCGACAGCACTCTCTACAGAAGCATGATTGGAAGCCTTCTGTATCTAACAGCAAGCAGGCCTGACATTATGTTTAGTGTTTGTGTGTGTGCCAGATATCAAGCTAATCCCAAGGTCACTCATCTTAAAGCTGTGAAGAGGATTATTAGGTATGTTGCAGGTACAGTAGACTTAGGGATTCAGTTTTTCAAAGACACAAATACAAACTTGATAGGCTTTAGTGATTCTGATTGGGCTGGGGATATAAGTGACAGAAAAAGCACCTCAGGTGCATGTTTCTTTCTGGGGAATAATCTAGTTTCTTGGTTTAGTAGAAAGCAAAACTGTGTATCTCTTTCAACAGCTGAATCAGAATATGTAGCTGCTGGAGGGTGTTGTGGTCAACTAATTTGGATGAAACAAATGTTGGGGGATTATGGGTTAACCAGTGATACCCTGACCATATATTGTGATAATTCAAGTGCTATTGACATTTCAAAAAATCCTGTTCAACACTCACGAACTAAACACATAGATATTAAACATCATTTTATTCGTGATATAGTTGAGAAAAATATTGTGTGCTTAAAGTACATTCCTACAGAAGATCAGCTGGCTGACATCTTTACAAAGGCATTAGATTATGAGAGGTTTTCAAAACTCAGAAAATCTCTCGGGATGTGTACTCAATAAACATGTCCTGGAACGTGTTGCAGCACCTCATCAAATATCTTAAGCTGCAACACAATTTACTGAAGCATTAGCTTCATTAAATAATGACTTCACTGTGATGTATTATTTTCTAAATCAGTAACTGGAAGTCATGCTTCATGTAAACATTTAGGGAATAATTACACTCACATAAGTCAAACTCCTCTATTTTGATAGTCATATCTTAGTAACTGAGGAACCTTCAAACTGAACACTTGATCATGTTCCATGTGAATTGTTTGACTTGAAAATAAGAGTTTATATATATATATATATATATATATATATATATATATATATATATATATATATATATATATATATATATATATATATATATATATATATAAAATTGTATCTATGCCTGTCAGCAAATTTTTCTCACTATTAATCATTAATAAATGTGTTTTTCTATTTTTGTGAATATTTCATGAGTGCTACGGTTTTATTTTTATTTTTTATTGAATTATCGCTATTTATATGGGTCATGGGTACATGGGTTAATTCCTTATTTTTCCACTAAGTCCACTCCTTATTGTGCCATGTGTCACCATTCTGCTTTAAACTGCCAAGGAAATTTTATTCTCCTTAATCACACTCTCCCCAAGAAAAACGGACACCACTTCTTCACCTTCTCCACTTCAATTTTTTCAAGCAAAAACTAGGGCTTATAAATTTCGTGCTTCTTTTTTTCGAAAATTCACACTCAAAAATCAAAAGCACAAGAAGCAATTTTTTATCTACTGTATCATGGCATCTCCTCCTAGAAATCCTCTTCCAGCCGTTGATGATGTGCACAAGGATGCTGCAGCACCTGAACCAGCAGACCCTAATCTAGCCATCATCGTTCATCCTGTCAACCTTGAAGCCATGCCGACCAGCTTCATTGGGCCCGGTGACGAGCTGAATTCGATTGACCCAGACAACTTCGAGTACGTGGGTCCCTCTTCCAATGCAGGAAGGTTTCCAACTCGCCGGTCCAAGCGCATGAATTCCTTCCCAGATCTGAATGCTACTGGATCACATCGCCGGAGGGGAGGACATTCTCCCAGCACATGCGGCAGAGGTGGAAGAAGAAGCGACAGAGTCGGTCGCACTCCAGTTAGGCCAAACCCACCAAGAGGCCTTCATTTGGTTGATGAAGAAACTGATGACGAAGAAGGAGATCCTACTTTTGCAGAACCAAGCCCAAGCTCTCTCCTCAAGCTCTACAAGACTCATCTCCACCAGCATCAACTCAGGGGGAGACATTTCAGTCCAACATGGCAGCAATTTCCTCTCAACATCCTGTTTCCGAAGATGTTGCTGCACATGTTCCTGAAAATGCTGTTGCACCTACTGTCTCAGACAATGCTTCTCAAAATGTTGCTGAGGATGCTGCTCCCTACCAGGATGAAGAAATGCCTGATTTTTCTGGGATGTCCTCTGTTGAGCATGTTGACATTCCCACTGTCGATGCTCAGGATTTTACTACCACTGAAGAAACACCCTCAGCTCCAAATGAAGATCCTCTGGAAACTCTGACAGAGGCAGCTGTTCAAGTGGATGCACCACCTTCCCAGGTTGAAGATGAAGAGAAAAGTGATGACAATGGAAGAAGATGCTGCTCCACCTGTTGCATCACCTGAGCCAGCATACATCCCAGATGAACTTGAAGAATCAGAAGAAGAGGAACACTCAGCGGATGAAGAGCTAGACTTGGATGGGAAGAATATGTCAACTCCTTTTGAGGTAAACAATGCCTTCAGTCCTACTTTTTATTTTGAATCTGATTCAAATTTGAGTCCTCAAATCATGAATTGCCAATTCATTGAGGAAATGAAATTTTCAAGGATGAGTTTGATAGACATAGGATAATTGCTTTTCATAGGGACTTGAACAAAGAAAAATCCTTAGTCTAGTTGAGATTGTCTGTCCTTATGAAGGAATTTTTATGCCAATTTACAAACTGTTTTTAAAGAAAAATTCTCCAAACTTTGGAAAAGTTTTTTTTTGTGCGAATCAATTTTTTCTCCCAAAATTATCAACTCTCATTTACAAACTCCTACTTTGATTGATGAGGATAATTATGGTGATTTTACTGAAGTTTGTAAAACTCTTTTTGGCAATCGTTTTAAATCCCTCTCTCATCTACTCCATTCTGCTTTCTCAAAATTTTAAGATCTTCCCTGGAATGGAGATAATTTCCTCTCAAATGAATCAGGTCAAAATAATCTTGGTACTGAAGGTGTTGCTCCTCATGTTGACAACACTCCTGACATCCTTATTTCTGTTTCTCGAGATTTTTTTTTAAACAGCTTACTCACTCGCTAGTTCAGATCACCTATCATCAGTGCATGGTGGAAATGCTTCAGAGAGCTCTTTCTGATCAAAAAGGGGGAGAACAAGCTGATCATGAAGTTGAAGCAGGGTGAAGCTGAAGGAGCAGAGGAAAGTAGTGGATCCAGTACTAGTGATGGAGGAACAACAGCTGATACTGAGGAGACTTTGAATTGCACTATTTTGTTATTTGCTATATTGGTTATCATATTCAGGGGGAGTTCAAGCAATGACTCAGGGGGAGTTAAGCTAAAATTTAGTTTTGATCAGAAAGTTAAAAAGGGGGAGTTTGAAACACGTGAAATTGTTTTTAACTTTCCTATTTTTCTAACTAAATTTTAATTATTAAATAAGTAGTGCTTAGTGGGTTAAGTATAGTAGTTAGTGGGTTAAGTAGTGCTTAAGTGGGTTTAATTGTGAATATTATTCTAACTCCTTAAACTAACCCACTAACCCATTTTCTTGAGTGCTCTTGTGGTTGGTTTTCTTGCAGATCATGGGCTGAGTAGTGGAAGCTTGGAATGTCTATAAATACCGACTTCAAGACTCAAGGAAATTAATCGATTCTACGAAATAAAAACCGAGAGCTGAAGAGAATACGTGATTGTTTTAGTGTGGTTTTAGAATCGGTTGTTTGTACTCTTCATGAGTACATTCTTTACGTACTTATCATAAGTACATTCTTTGTAGTCTAGATTGTTTAGTATATATGTTTCTAGACTTGGTTGTAAGAATGATCAAGATAGTGATTCATTCATAAGTTCTTTACGTACTCCTCACGAGTACATCTTTGAAATCTAGAATTTTTAATATTTTTCTTTTAGTATCTAGATTTGATTGTAAGAATGATCTTGAAAAAGATTCATTCATAAGGAAGAAGTTTTCGCACCTCTTCTGTTTGTATTCTTGGAATACTGATTTTAATATATTTTTCCGTCCTGTAAAAGGGCAAGTTCACAAGTCTTTACTTGTGAACATTTTTAATTCTGAGTATTGTTATTTTATCTTTATATTTCCGCTGCATGTTTGTTCAAGTGTCATAACACTTAAGATAACACATCTGTATTAAACGAATTCGGGACCATAAATTCCATCAATATCCGACAATCTTCCGACCACTCATGACTAGATCCGTCCACCCACTACTAAGTCTGTGAAGGTTCGCTCAAATCTAACCACAAATAACCAACTCAGCGGTGATTCAAGGCGTTTCGGCCGAAAAATCGGGTTCCTAAACTGACTCGTCGGTTCTCAAATTTTACCCGGTCGAACCGAATTTTAGTCATTGACCCCAGTTTTTGATTTGTCCGGTTTTAAATGTCAGACCGGACCGCTTTATTGCCGGGTCACGGTCGAACCGGTCCGACCGACCGATTTGATCCGATTCTAACAACATTGATTTTTCCCTTGGGTCGAAAATTTTTAGCCTTTTGTAGCATGAGTTGCCAATGAAAGAAATTTGTGAACATATAAAAATTAATAAAATATGCATAGGAAAATCTCAACCACGGAAATATAGACCCAACCTCAGCCTCAAGATACATTTACAAACTTCGTTCATTTGGAAACAAAAATCTACAGAAGTGGACTACAAATTGCCAACTGTATAGTGGGCCCCACGTAATCTTGAAATCCAATCACATAACAGATATAGATATCACAAGATAATACAACTGATCACAATTCCCGCCTATATGTAACTACCAACTACCAATCTCCTCATTCATCCTCAAACAATACTTCCTCTTTCAACTCACAAACCCCAAAAAGAAAAAAAAAACACACTCCCCTTCCTTCAATGGCGGCCTCTTCAATGGCTCTATCGTCTCCGTCTTTCGCCGGCCAGGCGGTCAAGTCGACCCCCGAATTCGCCAGCTCCGGCGGCAGGATCTCAATGAGGAAGACCGCAGGCAAGCCCAAGCCCAAGCCCGCTTCGTCCGGGAGCCCGTGGTACGGCCCGGACCGTGTCAAGTATTTGGGCCCATTCTCCGGCGAGGCCCCCAGCTACCTCAGCGGGGAATTCCCCGGTGACTACGGCTGGGACACCGCGGGGCTTTCGGCCGACCCGGAAACATTCGCCAAGAACCGTGAACTTGAGGTGATCCACTCAAGGTGGGCCATGCTCGGAGCTCTCGGATGCGTCTTCCCCGAGCTTCTAGCGCGCAACGGCGTGAAATTCGGCGAGGCGGTTTGGTTCAAGGCCGGATCGCAGATATTCAGTGAGGGTGGGCTCGATTATTTGGGAAACCCTAGCTTGGTCCACGCACAGAGCATACTGGCCATCTGGGGTGTCCAGGTTGTGTTGATGGGAGCTATTGAGGGCTACAGAATTGCCGGTGGGCCACTCGGTGAGGTTGTCGACCCGCTTTACCCGGGTGGGAGCTTCGACCCGTTGGGCCTCGCTGAGGACCCGGAAGCTTTTGCTGAGCTGAAGGTGAAGGAGCTAAAGAATGGGAGACTTGCGATGTTCTCGATGTTCGGATTCTTTGTTCAGGCGATTGTTACCGGAAAGGGGCCGTTGGAGAACCTCGCCGACCACCTTGCGGACCCGGTTAACAACAACGCGTGGGCCTTCGCCACGAACTTCGTACCCGGAAAATGAGCTTGGGATATTAATTGTGAGCCCACAAATTGTTGTTAGAATTTTGTGGTGTAATGTAAATTTGAGGGATTAGTTTTCTGCAGCATTAATGATGTATGCTTCTGGTGTAAATGTGTTTGATCTAATGGTAAAATTGTGTTTTTTTTAATGGTAAAATTTGACATTTTAACTGTGTTAGTAACCTGAATAATTTATCCAAAGTGCTACTTATGATTTACTGGGAGGATCAACATTCGAACAAGTTTGTCGGAATTTCTGATTGACTCGTTTTTCTGAAAGATCAGCTTAATTCCATATTCCAATTAAATTATTATATTATTCAAGGCAAAGAAGCTTTAAGAATAAACCTATTTAATGTAATTATAGTTACACCCCTCTAATTTTGAAAATTGCACAATTTTCCCTTGATGTATGATATTAGCTAACATTTAATCCATTCGACCCTTGATGTTTTTAGAAATTTTCTTCTTAACCTTGATAAAATAGTGAGTAGATTAGATAATTTAGATTGTTCTCTCCTCTCAAGTTAGATCTAATTACGTAAAGATCCCATGTATTTTAAACAACATTACATAGACGGTAGACTTCCTTACAGTTTAAGGAGTTTTTATGCACAAGTTCCTCACCAACCATCTTAATGTATAAGTTTAATATGTATTATAAATAAAGGAAAAATTAATGTATACGACAAAATTACCCCCAACCCTTTAAACACAAATCTTAATTATAATCCCAATTTAATCATTTTTACCACAAAAAATCTAATTTTGACTTTATTTTTTCTGAAATTCTTTTTTTTGCCGCCAGTTTCCGGTGTTGACCGCCGGTCTCCATCTTTGATTTTTTTCGTATTCATTTTTCCCTAAAATTTTTATCCATTTTTTACATCTGCCGCTTAACGTTGACCGTAATTGTACTGTCATTAACATTAACCGTAATTATACTGTCACCGACAATATTATTATTTTTTTGGCTTTTTTTTAAATTTTGTTTAGTTTGTTGAGAAGTCAACATAATTATATTACTGTCGTTGACAGTAGAATTACTGTAAAGACAATAATATTACTGTCAATCACATCAATACTATTTTTTTTTTGACTTTTTTGTTTTGTTTGAGTTGTTGACCGATTAACGTAATAATATTACTGTCTACAATTATTGTAATATTACTGTAAACACAATAGTATTACTATGGTTGACAGTATATTACTGTTACAAGTAATATTACTGTCAACCACATCAATATTAAATTTGCTTTTTTTATGTTTGTTTTTGTTGAACGGTCAACATATTAATATTACTCTATTACACAATAATAGTGATTTTTGTTGTGGTAATATAATTGGGCTAGAGAATAATATAGCAATATTACTGTGTTAAACTGTAGTATAGTTAATATTATTGTGTTTAACAGTAATATAGTTAATATGACTGTCAACCACAACTTATTGGTATTTAAACGGGGCAAAAAAGATGTTCAAGAAAAAGAAAAAAAATAATTCAATCGAAAAAGTCAACGCCGTAAACTGGCGGAAAAATCAGGAAAAAAAAAGAAAGAAAGTAAAAAGTCAACGTTAGAGACCGGTGGTCAATGGCGGCGACAGGCGAAATTGTACTCAAAATTGAGTTTTGGGTTAAAATTGAATAATTTGTAAAATTTGGAGTCAAATTGAGATTAATTTAAATTAAATGGTGAAATAAGAGCATATTAAAATGTGATGGGCTATTTTAGTCTTTTAAACACCTCTGGACAATGTGTGGACTTTTTTGTAAAAAAAAATTTTGTCTTGACCCCTTTATAAAAAAATATTCCATGATGAACTTATTTGTATAGTGCCCAGAGATAAATTGAACTAAAACTAAATTAATATTATTTTTACTAGTTATTAATTGGGTTTTTTGCAAAAACCTACCTCGTGTAATCTCTAACTGCCGTAAAAACTCAGTTAAAACAATTGGCAAAGAACCCCCTATGAAATGTAGTCAAAGCTGAAAAGGCCCCTAACAACTTATCGTGTCTTGCACACGTAAATTTTGCGACTGAGAGTGCATTTTTTTACCTTGAAAGACCCAATTACCCTTCATCACAAATTTAAAAATTGCAGATTCACCCTGAATTTTTTATAAGCACCAAAATGAACTTTTCAGGTTTTTTTATTTATTTATTTCAGTCCCTTACACTTTCATAAAAGCCCTCTCCTACACCACACCCAAAACCACCATTGCAGCCAGCTCAAAAAACACTGAACTAGCCGCCCAGCTCTGCCACCACCTTCGCTTCGTCGCCCGCCTCACCACCTCCCCCGCCGTCTACGACTACCCTCTCCACCGTCGTCGACCTCACCAAAATATCTCAAAAATGCCAAAAGGAAAGCTAAGCACCCCATTTTCCTCTGTTCCATCTCTCCCAAGGAACTCCTACCACTTCAACAGGCGACAAATGCCACAGCTCCACCAAATCAACCACATCACTCTGGCGGCGCAATGTTAGGAGAGAATTTCGTGAGACGCCATTGGTGGATTGCATCGGTCTGAGATGCGAGTGTGCGATGTGCGGTGGTGGATGGCTGATTTGGACTGTGAGGGGTAATTGCTGAGAGTGGTGGTTGAGGTTTGATTTTGAAGGAAGAGGGGCAACTCTTTTTTTCTTTCTTTTTATTTATTTATTTATTTATTTATTTTCTTTTCCTTTCTTCACGATATTTTTAAGGGGTAATATGCAATATCCCTCGTTTAAAAAATATTTGGAATTAAACATAATTGACTTTAAAGCCTTTTCTAAAACCTAAATCACAATCAAATTATTGAGACCCCTGACCAGACATGATAAGAATTCAAATTAGTGCCCTTATGTGGTTAGGTTAAAGGTTAGGTTTTTAACGTGATACAATTTTATCTCTTACTCTTGTATATATATCTCTCTCTCAATTTCTTTTCTTTCTGCATTTCTTTAAGCGCCGCCGCACTGCTTCCTCTTTTTCACACCACCGTCATAGTCTGCTCACCCTAGCCACCATTGTTGGTGAACTCGTCACCACCGGAGCCAACAATACCTTTTAATTGCCGGCGGATCGAAACACGATGCAGGAGGCCCTCGAGATCGTCTCCCCCCTCGTCCAACACCCCCACATTGACGATTGGTACAAGTGGTGACGGAGGTGCCTCCCCCACCTCGTCGCTGCCCTTCGTCGGATGCGTGATTTCTATATGGAGATTCCCCTTTTTCGTTATCTCTCTCGATTTCTCAGGTGTGTTTTTTTTTTTCTTCTTCTTCAGATATGTCCACCACCACCACCGTAGCTGCCTCCCTCACGCTCTCTTTCATTCACCGTCGTTGTCGTCGTCTCCCCTTCCCTCCCTTTTGTTATTTTCGATTTCGATTTTTTTTCTTTTTTTTTTCTCCCCAGATCTGAAGCAGCAGCTGTAAAGTGATTATTTTCTAGTTCGAATATGACTATTCTTGATTCACTCGATTAGTGATTTATTAATTTCTTGTTTGTTACGCGAATCAAGAAAAATAGAGTATAGGATGATGAGGAAGAGTGGGTCCGATCAATTCTCACGAATTCGAAGAAGGAAGATGCGATTCAAAACCAATACGAGTTTTTTCACAAAGAATGGGAGGGCCTCCATTCTACAACCAAAGAAGATGTAGCTAAGCTTCTCGTTTTATCATAAAGAAGAATGAAACTTTATTTTATCCGATCACATTGCCAATTAAGTTCGATATTCTGGTTTTTGTTTTCCAGATCTATTCACCACCACCACTGTCGCCGCCTCTCTTACTCTCGCTTTTCGTTCACCGCCGGCACCGCCGTTGTCGTCAACTCCCCTTCCCTCTCTTTCGTTATATTTCTATATCTATTTGTGTATTTTTTGATTTTTTTTCCTTCAGATCTAAACTAGCAGCAGTAACATGTCTATAGTGATATTCGAAATTTTTGTCTCCAGATCTGAACTAGCAGCAGTAACATGACTATAGTCATATTCGAATATGACTATTGTTGAATATGACTGTAGTCATATTCAAATATGTTCAATATTTTTGTTTCAAGTTGACTTGTAATAACATTCAAATTGTGTTTTTTTATGTGGATGTTGATTAGATTATTTTCGTAAACAATAGGCAATTTTCGTTGTTTTATATAATTTGGTAAACATGACTGTACCACTCTATATAATCGGAAATTTTAAAATGAAAATATGAAAAACTACAATATAAAGAAAAAATATGATTACAGTTGATATAGTCACATATAGTCATTTTCAACTATAGTCATATTCGGCGTAGTAAACACTTCAAGAAAAAAAATTCAATTTTTTTGTTTAAAAAAAATATTAAAAAATAAAAAAAAAATAATATTTTTATTAAAAAAATATTAAAGAGTAAAAAAATGCGAAATTAATCCGAAATAATAAACAATAAAAAATTCATTTTTTTTTTATTTGGTAGCATATTTTTAGGAATTTGGAAGCAGATTTTTAGGAATTAAATTGTTGTTATGGAAATAGAGAAAAAAAATAATTGAGACAAATTATATTAATTGACATAAGGGTAGTATTGGGAATAAAATTTTTAGGGGGTTATCACAAAGAAAAAATTAAGGGGTGGATATATCACCATTTTTAAGCTATATGCGGGGCTTATTGCTAATGGGTCTTTACAAATAAGTCCATCAATGGGTACTTATTCATAAAAAGATCCAGACAATAAACTATTTTACAAATAAGTCCACACATGGTCCAATTTTTTGTAAAAGACTAAAATAGTCCATCATACTTTAATAAGCTCCAATTTCATCCTTAATTTAATTTAACATCAATTTGACCCCAAATTTCACAAATTATTCAATTTTGATCCAAAACACATTTTTATTGACAAATTCGCCCGTCACCGTCGTTGACCGCCGGTCTCCGACTTTGACTTTTTTTTTCTTCTGATTATTTTGCCGGTTTCCGGCGTTGACTTTTTCGAATTTTTTTAATCTCCTGATTTTTCAACCACCGGTTTCCGGTGTTGACCCGGCGGTCAACGCCGGTCTCCGGCGTTGACTTTTTCGATTTTTTTTTCTCTTTTTGTAACATTTTTTTTCGTTTAAACAGCAATATTGCTGTGATTGACAATAATATAAACTATATTATTGTTAAACATAGTAAAATTAACTAT